TCATGACCATTTATTCATAATTGATAATCCACCTCTACAGGTTAACAGGACTCTTGGACTGTCACCTGGGACCTATGCCAGACAGCATTTCACACTGAAAGATCTTCAGCATCGCAAACGAAAGGCTATTGCATCAACAATTAAATCTAAACAGCGTAGATTACATCTCAAGATTATGAGGTATGTCAGCTTTTAACTTTGACCTCTAGTAGAAAATTATATATATCATATTCTACCATGATAGAGAAGGATACAAGAACTTGGTCAGTCTTGAAATACATTGTTAATGATGTAATGCTCTGAGGCCCTATATTCCGTAATGAAGAACGAAGTAGTCTACAGATATGTAACCATCATACTCATTGGACTATTGACCAACATAATAGTTTTTCATAAATCTGTTTCAGAAGTCAGAAGCGAACAGTTCAAGAAGTCAGAGAAGGTACGACATACTCTGCCATGGTTGACATGTCTGAGGACACCGATGACCTTGTTAGTATTCCTCCACCACTTCCTGTACCTGTCCAGGAGCCTCTTCAGCTTAACAACACCACAGAGATATTCTTTGATCTTGAAACTACTGGCTTAGGTATGTAAAAATAAAAGTGAAATGGAAATAGAGATTATCACACCAATCAGGTTTGGGATGGTAAATACCTAGCATTAGGAATAAATACTATTTACTATCCCAAAATATACTTGTGCGATAACAACTTTATCGTACCATGTCGTTCTTCTTTTCTATTACCACTAAATGACCTGCAACTTTATGTAGCTGATAGAAAATTCCCTGAAATGTGCACATTAATGCATTTCAGAGAAACACAGGTGAATGATAGATTATAGAAGCAGGAACCCATTTGGAGATATTACGAATGTTTTTAAATTTTAATAGATGCTATGTTTTACCATGTTTAATAATTTTGATACACTTTGCTTGGCGTTTCAAATATTCAATAGAGTGACTTCATAATGATTTTGAAAAGAAGTTGAGGCATTTGATCTTTCTATTTGCATCGATACCTGCATATGACCCCAACGGATATCAAAAATATCTGTTGACTTTTATCCTGACGAGGACACTATGCATTGTAAGATATATTTGAATATTAAGATCTTGAATTTACTACCCTGCAAAAGTTAAGACTCACAATGCATTTATACATGAATGTTTAAAATCGTGCGCTATAAATATATATATTTGATCTAAATATCTAATATAAGTGTTCTGGCATTATTTGTGTAATCAATAATACAATGATAATACAGGTGTGTGTGTGTGTGTGTGTGTGTGTGTGTGTGTGTGTGTGTGTGTGTGTGTGTGTGTGTGTGTGTGTGTGTGTGTGTGTGTGTGTGTGTGTGTGTGTGTGTGTGTGTGTGTGTGTGTGTGTGTGTGTGTGTGTGTGTGTGTGTGTGTGTGTGTGTGTGTGTGTGTGTGTGTGTGCAACAAACACTCTCACTCATAAGCATGTTGTCCCATGCCATTCCCCCTTTTGACTTGGACAGCATTTCCGGGTGAATGTCGTTTCTGGTCAATGACTTGTCATTGAATGAGTGAGTGAGTGAGCGAGTTAGTATGTATCGGCAATATTTCAGCCATATCATGACGAACAATTTAAAAATAGAGATGAATACATTTTGAAAATCTGTCGAGGATGGACAGTAAAACTACCAAAGTATCACAGATGGTAGGTATTAACTAATGAATAAGTGGGACAAATCTTTCCCATCCACTAGAGTTCAACAAGAGTATGAAAAAAGCAACGGAAATGGAAAATTGACAAGTATATCCAAAAAGACATTAAAACATTAAAAATGTGGCTATGTAGCCATTTGGCGTTACCGACACATTATCTTTTAAACTCATGTTCTATATCTACATAGCGAAATATATCCCATGTTAAAAAATTTATTAGGCGTGATATAACATCAACATTTTTAAGAAAACTGGGAAATATGGTTAATAGCGCCATTTCAAAATCTGCGTGAGTTGGAAGCAGCTTTTCACAAAGAATGGCGACAGTTTCCTCTGCCACAGTACGCCGACTGATGGGGGCTATCAGACGTAGGGTACAGGCAGTTATCCAAGCACCAGCTGCAGGAGGGAACACTAAATGTTGATTGTGCATCAGTCCTAGGTTACAAATATACGTTTTTGTCTCATCACATACACGCCATGTTGCCTGGTCGTCTCTCAAGCACCATTCGTGTAACAGGTATCATTTTCAGCCTAAACAGATGCTTATTGTAGTGCCTTATCCATTATTAAAACGTTGAAGGAAACTATCCTTTTTGTGGTTTTTGTAGTCATGACGTGATCTTACAGAACAAAACATGCAGCTTTACCAACGTACTGTGCGTGCACACCAGCCGAAACATACAGCTTACCTCTGGTGCTTAACGTGTTTCTAGATGTATAGCATGCCGTAGCACATATATAAACACAAAAAACCACACGAGTGGTTCTTCGACATGTTCCCTCTAATGTGAACAAGGTTAACATCAGGAAGAATATATTCTTCTGACAAGCTGTTTATAGTCCTAAGCCTGACAACTGCAGGTGGAATTTTGCGAAATCCTTTGAAAGAAAGTGGCCACAGTGCGGAGAGTTTCTGGAATTTTGGGTATCCAGAATCAAATTGTGACGTGTTAACTTCATGAAAGTACACGATCTGTTTTTGGTGAATTTATGAAATCCTAGACATTTTATAGATTGCCTAAGTGAATCATTTTTCTCACGCACGCGCGCACGTACATAAGTGCGACAAATTGCATGTTGTCTGTCTCGAAGAACTGGATGAAGATAAAATGATAATTTTGTTGAATGCCACAACAAACATAAAAATATGACATTTGAAAGCGACTAAAGTTATAGCAATGATATCAGACCTTGTTCGAGAAATGTATCCATCAATATCCACACAAAGAAACGATATGTGCATAACCTTTCAGAATTAGAATACTTTTCTAGTTCGCTGACTCGTCATGCTGTATATTGCATCACATCCCTTGTATCTCATTGTCTATTGCATCACATCTGATCTATCATATTGTATAATGCACCACAACCAACATATCATGTTGTATATTGCAAACACCTCAGACATACTATGTCGTATATAGCGCCACATCCAACATACCATGTTGTACATGACTGACTGACTGAGTGAGTTTGGTTTTACGCCGCTTTGAGCAATATTCCAGCAACATCACGGTCGGGGACACCAGAAATGGGCTTCACACATTGTGCCCATGTGGGGATTCGAACCCGGGTCTTCGGCGTGACGAGCCAACGCTTTAACCATTAGGCTACCCCACCGCCCCTGTTGTACATAGACCCACACCCAACATATCATGTTGTATATAGAGCAACATCCGACATACCATGTTGTATACAGAGTCACGTCCGTCTCTTGTTGTACATAGTGTCTTATCTGACATATATTGTATATAGGTCTTATTGTTCGAGGAATGTATCCTTCAATATCCACACAAAGGAACGATATGTGCATCTGCAGTTGACAAAGAAACCTTTCAGAATTAGAATACTTTTTTAGTTCGTTGACTCGTCACTGTACCCTTTACACTTGAGGAAAATAGGATAATATCATCTGCACATAATATCAATTACAATTGTGTACCATGGGTACAATTCTTCCTAATTTGGATGGCTTATTCAATTATGAAGATTGTCTAACTCCCAAATGGAGTCGATTCTGTGGATATGTTAATCTTAAGTTTAAGTTCTTATTTCTTTTTCGCAACTGCTGTATTCTATATGAGTCTAGTAAAACTGTTTGATGTTATGAGCGACTATGGTGGTACAGTGGCATACATTCAGGTAGCTGCACGCAACACCATGGCCGCCATGTTATTCTGTTCACACAACAAACATTTGGGTACATGATACCAACACTGTTCAGTATCGTAAATTCATTTACTGTTAACCTCTTTTAATATAATGGTTGGGTTCCAATGTTAAGTGATGGAACTACTATCACAGTTTTCTTTTCACTGTTCAGATTCTGAAGTGGGGCGGTGGGGTAGCCTAATGGTTAAAGCGTTGGCTCGTCACGCCGAAGACCCGGGTTCGAATCCCCACATGGGTACATTGTGTGAAGCTCATTTCTGGTGTCCCCCACCGTGATATTGCTGGAATATTGCTAAAAGCAGCGTAAAACCAAACTCACTAACTCACTCCGATTCTGAAGTTAACATGACTATGACACCATGCTTCTTACGACAGCTACTTGAAACAGGCAATGCCCTCAATGGTTCAACCATTCATAAGGTTGTATGAAACAATCACCGCGGACAGGAGACTAAATATAAACTGTCGATACCTAACTACCGAAAGGAGCAACCATTTGAAACCTCCCTGGTGGTACACTGACACGAGCTTGCTGTACATTATCACGATATTGTTTTGTACCATTTGCCAGGATGTCAGTGTGTTAAACACTGAGGTGTTTTGACGCATGTCTCGCAGTTTCAAAAGACGAACGCAGCTTTCATTCATTTTCACAGACTGTTCGTCATGGTGTAACCATGTGTTTCGTCACATACGTGTTCACGAAGGAATAAGAAAAGATTTTTGACCATCTTGTTGTAACAATGCTATCAGCTCCAGGGCGATCGCTGTTGGCCTGAGATAGACAGTACACAGCAATGAATACAGAGTGCCACAGCAAATACACAACAAGTTAGCTATTCCCAGTTGTCCCTCAGTGGATCATATCTGAATAAAATAATGAACACTTTATGCCCTATATCAGCTTACCAACTGGCGGCATTTACAGTCTGATTTACTCAACATCAAAGTCAAATCTTGTAAGAAGGCCAATGTTCAATATACAGAGAAAGTGCCTATGTGCATAAAACTGTGTAATGTGTACACGTATCATCTATTTTCTGTGCGTCTCCAGGCGACATTAGGTGAATTTCGCTAACGTTATCAATAATCACATATGCAAGTCATATAATATTATCAAATCATTTACCTCAAACTTCCAATCCTGGTTTGTATGTGCGCATACTCTCTATCCGTTGTAAACATTCGAATTGTTCAGCAGCATCTGTGAGAACTGGGTGCTGAAGCTTTGAATCAACGACGTTCCCTAAACACACCTGCACATCTTAGAGACAACCCTCTAAAAGCCTTATGCATACTGACGCTTGGGACTATTTCTCAGCCTTTTCATCACAGGGTAATGCTTGTGTTGTGATGCTGAACCGCTATGAATAGGACCGCCATAATAGCCAGCAAAATACAATCAGATGGTGATGCTCTACATCACATAGGTTTGAAACTCTGCATGGTTGGTTGGCCATGGCATTATGACATGGCCGTGCTGAGAAGCTATAGTTGAATACATTCAGTGACTGGAAAATATATCTCCTTCTCCATCCTGACGAGGACACTATGCATTGTAAGATATATTTGAATATTAAGATCTTGAATTTACTACCCTGCAAAAGTTAAGACTCACAATGCATTTATACATGAATGTTTAAAATTGTGCGCTATAAATATATATATTTGATCTAAATATCTAATATAAGTGTTCTGGCATTATTTGTGTAATCAATAATACAATGGTAATACAGGGGTGTGTGTGTGTGTGTGTGTGTGTGTGTGTGTGTGCGTGCGTGCGTGCGTGCGTGCGTGCGTGCGTGTGTGTGTGCGCGCGCGCAACAACAAACACACTCACTCATAAGCATGTTGTCCCATGCCATTCCCCCTTTTGACTTGGACAGCATTTCCGGGTGAATGTCGTTTCTGGTCAATGACTTGTCATTGAATGAGTGAGTGAGTGAGCGAGTTAGTATGTATCGGCAATATTTCAGCCATATCATGACGGACAATTTAAAAATAGAGATGAATACATTTTGAAAATATGTCGAGTATGGACAGTAAAACTACCAAAGTATCACAGATGGTAGGTATTAACTAATGTATAAGTGGGACAAATCTTTCCCATCCACTAGAGTTCAACAAGAGTATGAAAAAAGCAACGGAAATGGAAAATTGACAAGTATATCCAAAAAGACATTAAAACATTAAAAATGTGGCTATGTAGCCATTTGGCGTTACCGACACATTATCTTTTAAACTCATGTTCTATATCTACATAGCGAAATATATCCCATGTTAAAAAATTTATTAGGCGTGATATAATATCAACATTTTTAAGAAAACTGGGAAATATGGTTAATAGTGCCATTTCAAAATCTGCGTGAGTTGGAAGCAGCTTTTCACAAAGAATGGCGACAGTTTCCTCTGCCACAGTACGCCGACTGATGGGGGCTATCCGACGTAGGGTACAGGCAGTTATCCAAGCACCAGGTGCAGGAGGGAACACTAAATGTTGATTGTACATCAGTCCTAGGTTACAAATATACGTTTTTGTCTCATCACATACACGCCATGTTGCCTGGTCGTCTCTCAAGCACCATTCGTGTAACAGGTATCATTTTCAGCCTAAACAGATGCTTATTGTAGTGCCTTATCCATTATTAAAACGTTGAAGGAAACTATCCTTTTTGTGGTTTTTGTAATCATGACGTGATCTTACAGAACAAAACATGCAGCTTTACCAACGTACTGTGCGTGCACACCAGCCGAAACATACAGCTTACCGTGGGTGCTTAACGTGTTTCTAGATGTATAGCGTGCCGTAGCACATATATAAACACAAAAACCACACGAGTGATTCTTCGACATGTTCCCTCTAATGTGAACAAGGTTAACATCAGGAAGAATATATTCTTCTGACAAGCTGTTTATAGTCCTAAGCCTGACTACTGCAGGTGGAATTTTGCGAAATCCTTTGAAAGAAAGTGGCCACAGTGCGGAGAGTTTCTGGAATTTTGGGTATCCAGAATCAAATTGTGACGTGTTAACTTCATGAAAGTACACGATCTGTTTTTGGTGAATTTATGAAATCCTAGACATTTTATAGATTGCCTAAGTGAATCATATTTCGCACGCACGCACGCACGCACGCACGCACGCACGCCCTAAGTGCGACAAATTGCATGTTGTCTGTCTCGAAGAACTTGATGACGATAAAATGATGTGGAACGATTTTGTTGAATGCCACAACAAACATAAAAATATGAAATTTGAAAGCGACTAAAGTTATAGCAATGATATCAGACCTTGTTCGAGAAATGTATCCATCAATATCCACACAAAGAAACGATATGTGCATCTGCAGTTGACAAAGAAACCTTTCAGAATTAGAATACTTTTCTAGTTCGTTGACTCGTCATGCTGTATATTGCATCACATCCCTTGTATCTCATTGTCTATTGCATCACATCTGATCTATCATATTGTATAATGCACCACAACCAACATATCATGTTGTATATTGCATACACCTCAGACATACTATGTCGTATATAGCGCCACATCCAACATACCATGTTGTACATGACTGACTGACTGACTGACTGAGTGAGTTTGGTTTTACGCCGCTTTTAGCAATATTCCAGCAACATCACGGCGTGGGACACCAGAAATGGGCTTCACACATTGTGCCAATGTGGGGATTCGAACCCGGGTCTTCGGCGTGACGAGCCAACGCTTTAACCATTAGGCTACCCCACCGCCCCTGTTGTACATAGACCCACACCCAACATATCATGTTGTATATAGAGCAACATCCGACATACCATGTTGTATATAGAGTCACGTCCGTCACTTGTTGTACATAGTGTCTTATCTGACATATATTGTATATAGGTCTTATTGTTCGAGGAATGTATCCTTCAATATCCACACAAAGGAACGATATGTGCATCTGCAGTTGACAAAGAAACCTTTCAGAATTAGAATACTTTTTTAGTTCGTTGACTCGTCGCTGTACCCTTTACACTTGAGGAAAATAGGATAATATCATCTGCACATAATATCAATTACAATTGTGTACCATGGGTACAATTCTTCCTAATTTGGATGGCTTATTCAATTATGAAGATTGTCTAACTCCCAAATGGAGTCGATTCTGTGGATATGTTAATCTTAAGTTTAAGTTCTTATTTCTTTTTCGCAACTGCTGTATTCTATATGAGTCTAGTAAAACTGTTTGATGTTATGAGTGACTATGGTGGTACAGTGGCATACATTCAGGTAGCTGCACGCAACACCATGGCCGCCATGTTATTCTGTTCACACAACAAACATTTGGGTACATGATACCAACACTGTTCAGTATCGTAAATTCATTTACTGTTAACCTCTTTTAATATAATGGTTGGGTTCCAATGTTAAGTGATGGAACTACTATCACAGTTTTCTTTTCACTGTTCAGATTCTGAAGTGGGGCGGTGGGGTAGCCTAATGGTTAAAGCGTTGGCTCGTCACGCCGAAGACCCGGGTTCGAATCCCCACATGGGTACATTGTGTGAAGCTCATTTCTGGTGTCCCCCACCGTGATATTGCTGGAATATTGCTAAAAGAGGCGTAAAACCAAACTCACTAACTCACTCCGATTCTGAAGTTAACATGACTATGACACCATGCTTCTTACGACAGCTACTTGAAACAGGCAATGCCCTCAATGGTTCAACCATTCATAAGGTTGTATGAAACAATCACCGCGGACAGGAGACTAAATATAAACTGTCGATACCTAACTACCGAAAGGAGCAACCATTTGAAACCTCCCTGGTGGTACACTGACACGAGCTTGCCGTACATTATCACGATATTGTTTTGTACCATTTGCCAGGATGTCAGTGTGTTAAACACTGAGGTGTTTTGACGCATGTCTCGCAGTTTCAAAAGACGAACGCAGCTTTCATTCATTTTCACAGACTGTTCGTCATGGTGTAACCATGTGTTTCGTCACATACGTGTTCACGAAGGAATAAGAAAAGATTTTTGACCATCTTGTTGTAACAATGCTATCAGCTCCAGGGCGATCGCTGTTGGCCTGAGATAGACAGTACACAGCAATGAATACAGAGTGCCACAGCAAATACACAACAAGTTAGCTATTCCCAGTTGTCCCTCAGTGGATCATATCTGAATAAAATAATGAACACTTTATGCCCTATATCAGCTTACCAACTGGCGGCATTTACAGTCTGATTTACTCAACATCAAAGTCAAATCTTGTAAGAAGGCCAATGTCCAATATACAGAGAAAGTGCCTATGTGCATAAAACTGTGTAATATGTACACGTATCATCTATTTTCTGTGCGTCTCGAGGCGACATTAGGTGAATTTCGCTAACGTTATCAATAATCACATATGCAAGTCATATAATATTATCAAATCATTTACCTCAAACTTCCAATCCTGGTTTGTATGTGCGCATACTCTCTATCCGTTGTAAACATTCGAATTGTTCAGCAGCATCTGTGAGAACTGGGTGCTGAAGCTTTGAATCAACGACGTTCCCTAAACACACCTGCACATCTTAGAGACAACCCTCTAAAAGCCTTATGCATACTGATAACTTGTTTGAGTGGCATTTTAGAAGTTGAGACGTACAATATATAACAAGTTTTATGGATAACAACTTCTTTATTTTCGTGAGTGCGACGTTTCGATACAGATTCTTGTACCGTTGTCAAGCAAGAGTGATACATGAAGTGTAGGAGCTGCATATATATACTGTATATAACAATGAAACAACATAATAGACAAAGGAAACAACATAATTGCCATGATTGGCTAAGCAGTAAGCTGATGAAGCCAGTAAGTACATAAAGGATAGTGAGTGGAAGCCAGAGATGTAGTTACAATGAGATGTTTATACAATGGATGCGATGTTTATACAATAGACTGGGCTTGGTGGAGGAGTGGATCATAAGCAGATGGAATGAAGTATCCTTGGTCACGGTTGATGGTAGGCTTGTGGCGTTTGATGTGAATGGCTTCTGTGAGCTTGCGTTTAGTGAAGTCCGTTTGGTTGTTGGCGAGAATGGTGATGTCGGACCACTCTATTTGATGATTGGGGTTGGCTTTGATGTGGTCAGAGATAGCTGATTTGGTGTCGGAATTAGCAACAGAGGTGCGATGTTCTTTGACTCGGGTGTTGATGGGTCGGGATGTTTCACCTATGTAGCATTGTCCACAATCACAGTCTATTTTGTAAATAACACATTTCGGGTTGTTGTTGTTGACGGTGGGTTGTTTTCTTCCGTTGGCATGGAGGA